TGCCTCTTGGCCCCAGGGCCACACTGTGGACACTGGCCAAGCCAGCCCTGCTGTCTGTGCACACGCATGCTGAGTTTGAAAGGCGTTGGTTGTGTTCCGTGTTGGGCAAGCTGACCTGTCCATCAAGGAACGTGCCTGTGGAGTCTGCTGGAATCAGTCTGTTTGGCCCTTTTGGTATAAATAATAGAATTTTCCTCATCAAAAAGCGCTTAAAATCTCCTTCAAGGTGGGACTATTCAGCAGCTATTTTATGATATTTGAGGGAAAAAAAGGAGTAAATCTGAGGAGAGGGCTCTGGAAGTAGTCTGCCCCCTGGTTTCTTAGGAACCCTGGCACAACCTGGGCATGTTCAGGGCCTTCGTATGCAAATGAGCAGAGTGGATTGGGCCAGTAATTGAGGCCCAAATGGCACTTTTCCTGAACTTCCCTTGGAGAGGAGAGTGTCACAATGACAAGCTGTCCACTCCCTGGCCAGGGCCATGAGGGAGAGCGCCTGCTCACTGCTGGGCAGATGTGCTCATGGCAGGGCCACCCCCTCCCTGCCACCAGAAAGGTGGCTGATTGTTGCTGGTCCCCTTTCTGTGGGTGCCGGGAGGTCCTGGAGGTTCTGATGTGCACCTCTTCATAGCTTGTTTCTGCTTCTCGAGTTTATTTTAAGGAGTTGGGATTTTTTTTCAAATAGTCGGATTGTCTTAGGGATTCAGCTAAAGTATGTCATGTGTTTAAAAAACCAGAATGAAAGCATCCACAGACAGACACCCTGGAGAATTCCCAGGATGTGCGTGTCTTCTAGCCCCCCACCCCTGGAGGCAGGGTGGCCTCAGGAGCTGGATTCCTGCTCTGCTGGAGAGTTGAATGGCTCTGATGTGTCCTCAGTTATCATGGCCCAATGACTGAAGTGTTCTTACATTTTCATGGCATTTGGTGTGGATTTCTTGCACTGCAGGAGGCCCGAGGAAACCTCTGGGCTTGGCCTATTGTTTACTCTGGTGGTTGGAGGGGTTTGGCAAAGTCCATCAACGGCTCTGGACGTGCATGGCCAGTGGACTTACCATAGCACGGGTGTCACACTGGTGCTCTCCTGAGGCTGTGCTCAGTTCTGGCTGAAGATCTGAGGGCCTGGGATGGCATCATGTGCCCCTTGTGCCCATGTTCCTGCACTCTCCACATCCCTCTCTATGATCCTACTCTCAGGAAAACAAGTGGCCACAGGACACCTGAAGCTTCTCCTCTGGAAGGATCTGGGACCTAGGGGACGTTCAGGCCACCCTCAAGAGGCAATTCCCACAAGGACTCCCCACCCTCATGCCCAGGCATGACCTTGAGATGCCCTCTAAGGAGCTGTGTGACTGTGATGGAGCTCCCTGTGTTCTGCCCTTCACCTGCATGTGACCTGGGGCAGGGTGGGTCCTTTCAGAGCAAAAGAAGCACATCACATCTAAAGGGCAAATGTGAGAACTTGACGGTAGCTTCCAGTCCTTGTTATGCAAGGCCAAGTCTGGAGACCTGCCACCACCCTGGACGGTCTTGGAGCCAAGCCCACAGCTGCACAGTTCACTGTGGGAGGAGACGCTCCTGTTCAGCCAGACCCCTGCTGTCGAGGCAGAGGTGACCAGAGGTCAGCTAGCTTTTCCAGCAGGCAGGAGGCCAGCACACCAGGCCTCTGTTCTCATAGTGAGACGGAGCCTCTCTCCTCCCTGTGTCCTTGATATCTGGAATCCCAGGAAAGTTAACTATTGAGAAAGTGGGAACGTTTGGAAATGCGGCACGATAATCCTATAAAGTAAGTGCACTCTAAATGAAGATCGTTATAAACTTATGTCTCTAACTTGTGGCTGGATAACGGCAGAGTTACTGGTATCCCAATCTTTGCACAGGGGTCTGGTTGAATTCTCTGGGGACCCCTGCACTAAGATCGGGATACGAGATAGGAGGGTGCACCGGGTCTTCCTGGTCCTTAACGCGCATGGAGAAAAGCATGAAGCTCCACTTGCCTCCTAGGTCATCCTGGGTAGTCAAATCAGTTCTGTAAAGAAACCTGTGGTTGTCTACGTGGTATGGAGCCTGGCCATATGTCATCAGGGCATGTTGTATGGGGCCTTCCTTTGATCTGTCTGTGGGAAGACTGAGTGGAAGCAGCCATTTGTCAGGGGGTTGGATGTGTCTTCTTAGGCTGAAATGTGGAAGACATTCCCGGGTGCTTATTCTCTGCAAAAAGGACCCTGAACCTTAGCATTTCTGAGAGGGGAGACCCGAAGTCAGCAAGCGGGTCTTAAGCTGGGGACGAGGACTCGGCACACATCTAGCAGACGCTGCAGAAAAGGGCCCAACGTGACGACAAGGGAATGGGTGGCCAACGAAGGAGCAGTGGTCGCTTTGCCTATCGTTGAGTGTTTATTAAGGGAGAGTTCACTGGGAACCTGGTGCCATATGCTTCCCTCTCCCGCCCGCCTCTCAGCCTCAACCACTGGAGAGGCAGGTGCTGTCCACTGTCCCCCAAACTATCTTAAACCGATCGCAGATATCATGTGAGTACCACTTGTAAATATCTTAGGATAATGACTGAAATATAAGGATTGAAAAACGTAAGCGTGGTAAAACCGTGATTCTCAGCATTCTCAGATGTGTCCCTTGCTCCCCTTTCCTGGAAGGCTCCGTTTCTCTGGATTCTGTATCTCAAGCCAGTTTCCACACGAGGTCCGTGGCTGCCCTCTGCAGATTTTCCTCCCTCCATCCACGCGTTTCTTCATTTGTTCTGTAACAAGTGGTTTCTTCTCCTGTGGAGTTTTTCCAGTTTGGAGCTTATCATTGTCCCCGTCTCTGGCTTGCTCACCGTGTTCTTGGGTCCCTGTTGTTCCTCCCTGGTAAACAAAGCTTGGCTCTTGTTTTGGCGAGAACGCTTGGCAGTGGTGCGGCGTTCCCTCCGTCCTGCCTGTCGCCTCTTGGCCATGTGTCTTTTTGTGTTGTGAGCAGGTGACTTGTCTGATCCATTATTTCCCTAGGGGCTGCTAACTGGAACCTCTCCGTTCTTCATTTCGTTGACGCAGAGGAGCATGAACACTTCCACAGAGAGACTTCTCCCCGCAGACCGTCTGCTGCCCCTGGCGGTGGCTTGAGCAGAACACGGGGCACATGTTCAACTCTCCCTGTGCCATCGACTTAAGAGCAGGGTACTGGCTCCCGAGCCTCCTGGGGCAGTGACCATCCACGGACTCCACAGGGTGCTGCGTGGCCACGGTGGTCCCCAGCTCTCCCTCACCACCCCGTGGTCAGCTGTCATCTGCTGTTTTAAAAGACAGTAACAGAGCACGTGCCACTCTTGGTGGTGGATGGCCAAGGCACAGGAGCGACGTGTTCCTTGTCATAGCGTAGCGGGTGTCTCCTGATAGGAGGACAGTTGTCAGGGTGTTGTCCACTGCTCTGCTCCCAGGTGGCCGCTCCTCTCCGCGGGATTCCAGGCCGCCTGGCTCTTCCCTCCTATGGCGCCACTCTCTGTGCCCCTGGTCACATGTCCCTTCCTGCGTCCTTGTTGCCCTGCTCCTCCTCTCCAGGGGCACCATGACA